TCGCGTACCACGTGGTTCCTCCCCCGCATTGTCTATTTCTATTGGAGGTCGCGCCACCTGTAATCTTTCCACCTATCACGGCGCCAGCGGCAGAGGCGCCATTCTCGCCTTTCCCTTGGCTCGCCAAGCGGCCCAACCCGGTTGAGCAGGAAGCGGCGTTTCCGGCTACTCCTAATGGCGGCGCGGTTCTTAATTAAATAAAATAAATATATGGCTCGTGTCGTCATCCGCGATGTGGGACCATCCCATTACAATTGAGATTTTTTAAAGACATCTTGAAAATATGGCATATTTAATTTTTTTTAAAATATGAATAGTTTTCGTGTAATTTTGCGCGAAATACAATGTAATTTTTTAAACAATTTTGTTCCCAAATAACGCTCCAAATTATTTCTTAAAGTTTTCTCCTCGTAGGTATCAACAGACGATAAAAATTATTGTATTTGTCCCATTATCGATGAACTCTCCGTATTTTAGAAAATTGCAAAAAGTTAACATTTCAAAACTGCAAAATTGATGTTAGTGCATTTTTTCTTAAAGTGTATTCTAAAAATAAGCTCTTCGAAGAGAATCATGTACAAGTTTTTGAAAAAACTAGTAGTTTTCGCGTTATTTGTGCTTGAAATGTATGCCGTTTCTAAAAAATTATTTTCCCCAAAACAGCTACAAAACAAAAATTAATTTTTTAACAATATGTCTCAAATATGGTAGTTTCTTGAAAAAAGAAATGGAAAATTTTTAATTTGTTTTCCATGTTGTACTGCATTCCAAAAATACAAACATCAACACTGTTTCAAATTTCAAATCCCTGATTTGGATTTGCAAAAGGCACAAAATTTGCTCAATGGAGCTTAAGAAGAATTAAAGATTGTTTGAAATTACTATATTGATTAATGACATGTCTTTAATTAGGGGCCCCGTATTGTTTTGGTCCAAGAACCTCTGTTGAAATTACGCCACTCCTCCAAAATTGATATTTCCCAATCGTTCTGGCTAATGTCGTGGACCTGGGATTTGAAACCGATATTTTAATTTTGGAAGGTTCTTTACACGAAGCCCCTCGGACAATTTTAAAATTTTCAAAACAAAAAAAAAGGCTCCTAAACGTTTTGATAAAATTGTGTTGCTGGATAATGCGAAGGACGTTTAAGAGAATGATGCAGAACTCATTTTCATTTATATCCCCGATTTTTCGAAAATTGCAAAAATAAATTTTAAAATTTCTGAGATGTTAGTAGTGCAGAAAATACAATATTTCAATATTACGTAGCTGTTTTCAATAACGCGAGAAAGTATGTGCTGTTGAGCCCCACTAGTTGTAAACGTTCTTCGACTATATTTCTATAAATGCTTTATTCGACAAAAACATTGAAGAAAAAATTAATTCATTTTTAAGAAAATATTACTTAATAACCTATATTTCACACAAAATTATGTCAAAATGACCCATATTTTCGAAACATTGTACATGACATGTTTTCGACGTACAGCCAAATTTTAAACTACACAACGTGGATTGTGAGTCAACAAAAATTTGATAGGAAGAAATTAATTACATTTCTCGATAAGATTTTAAGATTTATCCACTTTTTCTGTATTACGATCCCACACTCATGATTGCCAAATGCTTCCTACCAACATCCGCCGTTAGATGGTAGTAAATTCGCCGAATGAAAAAAAAAAAACCTTTTCAAGCAGGAATTTTGAATTTGCATGGAGTTTTTTTTAAAATTATTTTAGTGACCCTATGAAATGCTTGATTTGCATTTTTTTGTTTGTGAACATCATAATTAATAATTTATGTAAAATCTTATATTTTTGTAATAATTTTTATCTTAACATTTAATAATGAGCTATCACTATTCTTATGATTACGGCAGATGGGATAAATACTTTACGAGATAAAATAATTCCCCCGCTTTCCCATTATCACTCTCCTTGTTCCTCATAAATATCCGCGCTTAAAATGATTACCTAAGAAATGCTTACATATGCCCGCTTTTTCCCTATGGCTTAACGGGAAATGATGGCAGTGACACCATACTTCCAAAAGATGACGTGTTGTGAAAGTAACTCCAAATACTGTAATGTGATATATGATGTTGTGCACGACAAAGACCCTATGACTTTTAGAGGTCTAAAAACTAAGAGTACTGGCTTCTCAAAGTAAATTTAAACCCATTAACAAATGATAATTGATCAATTGTGTAGAAAGTAAAAAATAAATAAGACATCAAACTCGCAGTCAACGGCGTTGTGATTGTTTTTTGAAAATTTCGTCGTAATGAGAAAATCCGTCCAAAAGCGCACATGTTTCGATGAGTTTCTGCCCATTGGGCGCTTTTCCGCCGTCGCTTTGTCAGCTTTGTCCCGCAGAAGAGCCGTTTTCCAGCCCAAAAGCGGAATTCCGCCCAATCTGGCAACCCTGCCCATAATTCGAGCTGTCTTTTGCAACATTAGAATCCTTCACACTGTGTAAATAGAATGCGAGAAAGTAAACTTGTGAAGCTACAGAATGGCACAGACTTCATCGTTCTAGTTGGTCTTCGAATATCTCTGGTCTAGCTTTTTCGGTTTTGCTCCTTCCCAGGTAACATATATTGCCGCATTAAGATCATTATTTCACATTTTCTCAATTTTTCGATGTTCTAATATTAGGACTCTTATTCTGGGTACCTTGGAAAGAAATTTATTTTAGGTACATTGATTAGAACTGAAATATGACATTAAGAAAGTAAAACATAGTCATATATGCAAATTTTCGTTGAAAAAATTGGAGCTGTTTTTGAGAAACTCATTTAAGTGTTTCTGAAAACGTGCAATATTGAGCACATTTTCACAGAAAAACTTGAGTTTTCGAGAAACTTCATTAGAAATAATTTGAAGCAACTTTCCTCGCTGATACAATAATGTGTAAAAACCTCCGTACTTGGTAGGTAATCAAAAGTATAAATCAGAATGGCGTTAAAGACATTATTGAATTTGTGAGTACAAATAATTTCTTGTGAATTTTCTCGAAAAGGGCACGGGCCCAGGGCCCCAGATAGTTAAAAAAATGCATGTTAAATTAAGAAATAAAATAGAAAAACGAATAAAAAGTAATATATGATTAAACTATATGTCATAGCAACGTTTTCAATGAAAATGAGCTTCAAAATGTGGATTTCAAATAACGCTCAAACATTTTTTTAGAAAACGACTTCATTAATGGTGAGATAATACTCTTCTATAATATTCTTAAAGCCGCGTTTCAGTTCTTCCATTAGGTAGGTCAGTCCTTTTTTCTTTTGGCTAATGTAAGAAACCGAGCAATCAAGACATTAAAGATTTTATTAATAAATATTAGAACAGGCAACAAATTATAAAAGTAATACGAGCTGATTACCCAGGGTACCTCGGGTATTTATCACATTCATCCGCTAAGCAGTTTCGCCCCACTGATTGCTCTGCCAAGTTGTCCTTATATTCTCTGTCCACACCCGCGTCCCCACCCATGCAGTCCTTCAGCTCCGCCCTGCATCTGGCAAAGATCCTGCTTAGATGCTCTTCCCATTGCAGCATTTGTAGGAAGATTTTGTGGTTGACTCAAATTTAGGATATTTTGAGATGAATCACTCCAGCGATATCAATGTCATTGTGGAACAAATATCTAGCCAAATATATAGCCCAGGAAAGGTCTCTAAACTTTACACATTTGTTTGGTAAGTTGGCTCTGACTGTGCAAGATAAATGATGCAAGAATTGAGATATCCTAAAATATCTGTATAATCAGCAATCGTATATTTATTCTCCGAATTTTTCGAATAATAAATAGCGCTTGAATATAGATAATGAATTCGCTCTCCAAAACGGTCATACAAAGTTTGTATCTTGATAAATATTCTCAGACTGTAATCATATTTGAATAAAACCCGCTATTTGAATATAAATCATATTATTTTTATTTAATGAATAGAAAAATGGAAATTAGTAGTTGTGGTAGGGCGGCAAAGTTGTTATTCCACCCCTACCTGTGACATGTGCGCCCGTCTGTCTAGTTAGGTTTTTCCTGACACCTTTGTCCTCTACGACCACGTCACTGCCTTGGTAGGGGAATGCCTCCGTATGGCAATGTCGCAAATAGGGCCCCGCGCCCCTGCTACTTGTGCGACCGGCCATCGGTCGACTGAGGCTTCACAACAAATACATGCTTGTATGCAACATACACATAGCGATTTTTCCAACTCTGCCCCTGGCAGGTATCGTCTGTTGACAGTTTGATTCAATCGGGACCTTTAACGTCACCGTAGTGACGTTTGCATGCAAGCATGTGCACCATAGTGACGTTCAAGTTCCCGATTGGATGATACCTGCCAGAGGCAAAGTTGGAAAACTCTCAATATACATTCATACATTTTTATAGATTGACTGACATGTTTTCAATTCTTCGACAATTTGTCTTAACTTTAATTCAAAACGTTTCTTCAGTAACACACTAACTTTTTCAATTGGTAATACTACTTACAGTTGTTATTGTAACAAACACTGAACAATTTTTCAACATGTATAGAAAATAATTTTTTCATTCAAATTCACAAATTTTACTCCTTATTTCTTGTTAAAAAAAGAAAATTGTTACCATGTTGATGTGAAAATTATTTGCTATTTCACACATTATGTTAATAGATGAGTTTCACGTATACAGTAATTATTTATATAATCTGATATTAAATAATTCAATTCTTGTAGTATTTAAGTAGGAAACTTTGAAATCCAATTGGTTCAACATGATGGGGCAATCAGTTTTTCCTGTCACTAATTTATGAATTAAATTATACCAATTATATATTATTTGTGTGACTGGGTGTGTTTTATATGTATTGAGTGTACATACATCTACGTGAGTGCATGCTTGTGTTTTTGTTTGTTTATGTTTACAAATAAAAGTATTGATTTATTTTCTTGTGTAAATTTAAATATATTTTGATACTTTATGAGAATTTTATATTATAATTTTCCAGGATCGAGTCTATAACATTCACGATGATAAACAAGTGACTGGCCCAGAAGTGGTGTCGCTTATACCAGGTGTCATGGCATCTGGGAATGAAGCCGCAACCCCTGAACGTGTGGCTACCCCCCCTCCCCCTCCCACACCCCCACAGAGGCTGGATAGCATTAACCTGAAGGCAGGCTGAGAACCATTGGTGTGATAGTTGGAGAATGCCATCCAAGCCACAGTCTAGGTAGGCAAACTGTATGTTTGTACTATTGTCAGTGTATATGAAAAATTTAAGAACTTAAAAGTTGTATTTCTACATGCAGACTGTGGTCATAGCCCCATCCCTCTTTACTGGATATTATTACAGTGATTGCTGTTAGATTGTTGAGCAAATAGTTGTTTGTTACTCTTCAGGGATTTGATTCTTACAAATAATCTAATAACATAATGATGCAAAATTTCCATGCCTATTTGCATCTCAGAAATGCTCAGTGAAGTGAGGAGAAATTGTTTAAATGACACCATTTATAATGATTTAGATCAAAAAACAAAATGTTTCTTTAATACATGAAAAGTAAATAGGCATTTGAAAAATCAAAATATAAAAATGAAATCATAATGAATTTTAGGTATATATTGTCATAAGAATAATTAATTATTTATTAAATGTGTAGATTCAAATCCCATATTGAGTGTAATTTGTAATAATGTCAGCCCTCTTTTGAATTATGGGTCTGTCATAACAATCTATGATTTTTTATAAAACACGTGATATGATTCTGTACATTAACCAGACAATTATTTTAGCTAAAAAGTGCATTCTTGTAAATAACTGTAATTTATTTATGTATGAGATTTTCCTTCTCGATATATACATAAATATATATGTATGTATGTATGTATGTATGTATGTATGTATGTAATGTGCCAAAAAAAAGATACTTTAAGAATGTGTTGCAACTTTTACAGAATTGTTGGAACAATATGTAAAGTATCTGAGAACCAAAACTTTTCCAGTGGTTTCGTAGAAAGATTTAATATTTTATAGTATTTTTGTACTGTACTTCAGAATATAATTCACTGACCTTTATCTCAATTGTTATTTTTGCAACTGTCAGTATTTTCAGTTAACTGCAAACAACTAATAACTGATCACTTAACCCATAAATTTAATTTCAATGATTAAATGCCTATAGTATATTTATTCAGATATTGGAAAATATTAGATTTTTCAGTTGAGAGAGAATGGGCATAGTGTTCAAATACCTTGATAAGTGGAGTGGATTTTGAAATATCATTATTCATTTACTTTGGATTGATTTTTGAAGGCAATATGACAACTTTTCAAAAAGTTTCCATTCTTTTACAAAGTTGTGTGTAGGTGTACTGTTGAATAGAAAGCAATTGTGAACACTAAAACCTTGGAGAAGGATAATGAAATGATGCATGCTCTTTGTCTTCCAGTTATTCACTTTTCTCCTCATACAAAACAAATTGTGAAAAAAATATTACATTTTTATATCATCTGCCTTCATGACAAACATGCTGCCTCCATAATCTCTGCTTATTCAGATTGTACATTATATTTTAGGTTTTGTTGTGTTTTCTGTTCATGTTTATGTATGTATTATGGTGTGCAGCTCTAGTCACTATTATTTATCTTTAAATGCTACTTTATGACTTGCAATATTGTTTCATGGTTTGTGTGTATAATAGGAACGAATAGAATGATTGACACAATTCTTGCAACACATTTGATGAAGAGAATCATGTTTCACCTTAAATGTGATGCTGTGTAAATATTTAGATATATTTTTTGTATGTAGATTTTTCATACACTTTCCTAATTGTCCATCTTGAATATTAAAATGCCAGCATGGGAATGTATTGTTATATGGCTCACTATAATAGCGCAGTACATGGTGCACAATGAGTTGTGCAATTCCCTCATTTATTTGTGATGCAGGACTGAAAGTGATTCCGTGGTGGTTTGCTCTGTCGATGGTAGCTCTACCTTGTACCTAGTTACCAACATTGCTCAATACTTATTGAATGAATATTTTAAAATGTTCTCATAAAGCTAACATTCAGTTTAATAAAACCACAGTATTATAAAGATGACATATTTGTATCCACACTATCATAATAATAAGAGTAAGAATAATTTACATTCATTGCCATGGACTATACAGCCAACCATTGTGAAGTCAACGAATAATGGTATTGATTAAATGACAAGGTTGGAAATATACAAGACATAACAATGAACTGCTTTAACCAATGCCAAGAACTGTTGAGGGTAGAATGCTTCACCCCCATTACTGTTTTGTGTGTTTTATAGACCATTTCCTCACTGTCTGTTGTAAAAGTGTTGTGATATTAGAAATTTCATAAGAAATATGGAAAATAAACATTTTTCTTAATGTTAATTCCAATGAATACTCTTATTTTGTGAACTAAAAGCAAAATCTGTATCCTACAACACTGCAACAGAACAACATCACTGATTTTTAAATAAACAAGATTCATTAATATCAATGAAATACACAATTTTGATCTGCTATAGGGTGTCATAGAACATCATTTTTTAATACAAATGGCATATACTCTGTGTTATTTAACATTCCAGTGACTGGTAAATGACATGCATAGATTTATGAATGAAAACAATTAAAAATAGAATTATCATCAATGTTCTATAAATGTTATTTTCAATTTTTTACATAACTTTACCACCATCTCCTTAATATTACACTGTAGTATGTGGTTTCTCAAAAAAAACCAACAAAAAAACAATACACGCCCAATGCAGTGAATAAAATGAATTAAAATTTTTCGGACTGGTTAAAAGATGAAATGAAATTCAATGAAATAATGTACTTTGATTTGTATATCATGAAAATGCATTTGCTTATTACTTATCAATGTAGATATTACTTATACATTTTTAAAATTTATTTTTGTAATATTCTGTAGAATATGAACAACACCAGTTAATAATAACATAATGAAAATGTTTGTTGGTAATTATCTGATATTTCAGAATGAATGTAGTACAAACAGCAAGAAACAACAGAATATTTTTTTTTAGATATACTTACACAAAGTATTTAAAAAAGAATAAATTTCCAAAAGAGAGAAATTGAAGGTGGAAACTGCCCATTTAACTCTGGTCTTGTATTTTCAAGATCTCAAGAACATACCTAACTTTCTGTATCTATATAAAATTAATAACAATGTTAGAAAGTTCTGTTGCTTTTTGCTGTACATCAATTTTATACTGATATTGTGTATTTATTTACTGTTTAAGAATGTTTATGGTTCAAAATATTAAGAAAAGTAATAATTTCTTGTAACATATCCAATTTTCAGCATCGCAAACATAATGTCTCATATGATAGCGAGTAAGTTTTTGTGTCCTGTAAATAATTCATTCTGAATTCATGTCATTGCATCATGAACATTCATTTGGAATCTTATTGTGCATACAGTATTATATAATTTATACAACAATACATCTGCTGCAGGAACATAACATTTTCTTCAGTGAAGGAAACTGTTTAAAGTTTCGAGCAGCTTAGTTTCTGTATATGTGTAAATAAATATAATTGATATATGCATTTTGCATGAAATACAATACTTGTCTACCAGCCGATGAGATATACAAGGATTATATGGATAATAGATCATTTTTAGACCAACCCTACATAAGAAAACAGTCAAGAACTGAAATTTTGTGATGTGTTTACAAAAAATGTTTAAATTTGCAGAATCAGATAACTATTGGCTTAGAATGAGCAAAGGACCATGACAAATGATATTGCATAAAGACAAAGCATAATTAAAAAAAAAAAAAATAAGAGTCGCTGGTCACTGTAGAGGAGTGGTTGCTATGAGTCAGAAAACTTGATGAGACTGAAAAACTCAAGACGTTTCAAGTGACAAATGAAACAAAATGGAACATTTTACGAAAAGAAAGAATGGTGCCATATTTTGGTATAGTGATTTTTTAACCACAAGTTGTAATTATTCAAAATGTTCAATGTGTGACTTTCAGTTAAGTACATGTTATTTGTGCAATAGTAATAAAGTCTCAATTCCATTTAGCTGTATTTTTTTGTACCCAAACTTTTCCACCACTACTACCTTGCAAAATATTTCACCTTATATAACGATTTATTTGGGGGTGTCATAAGATCTTTTGTACAAAGAGATCTCTTCCACATTTGACAATTTCATCTACACACCAATTCATTAACTTCAATTAGATGAGAAATATTAGTTTCTAAATGTTTCTACAATTCACTTACACACTGTCTCCCTCAGCAATCTTTCTATAGTTATTTTTCGTAATAATTATTGCTCTTCTTCCCTAATTTTATTATAGTGTGTCCCTCTCCACAAACTTTACATGTCAGCATGCTTTATGTCCAAACACTTCAATTATATCTCAAATATTTCTTGAGTTGCAATGATATTCATCCACTCTTTTTAGAACAATGAAATAAACATTTGTTTGTATATAAACAACACTCGTCATGCAGATTCAAAAAGAGTGTAGAACTATTGCAATGACTTTATTCTTTACAATGTGGTATTTTCAAACTTTTGCAAAAAAATATTTCTTTACCAAAGAATGTGAATTGCTTGTTCATATGGATGATACAAACATTTCTTAAATGAAGACTCAAATGCAAACTGTAATTAATGATGTCAAAAATTTCAATTTGTTTGTAATTTTCAGACGTAAACAAAAAAATAAATCTTAATTTAGATATTTTGTTGTGGAGAAGTGTAATATTATTTCTCACCTACACACCCAACTTGCAATTCCACACCAAAAGTTCAGAAGTATTCAGCAGTGTGCAGAGGAGGGGGCAGCTGGAGTATCTTGCATCAATCCCCAATCTAAGAGGATGCAAACTACACTATGTATTTAGTACAGGAAAGCATCAGAAATATTCATTAAATTATTAAAGAAGTTTCTAAATTATAAGCCTGAAAGAAGATTTAAGTATCGATACTTAAATACAAACTAATTGTTAATATGATTTTATCATATTTTAAAATAAATTGATGTACATAAGCTTAACGCTCTTCTTTTATTTTATTAGAAAGTAAAACAAGGTTTAGTAAACCGAAGTTAATTACACTTTCCAACTATTAGTTTTTTAGTATATATATATATATATACTAATATATATATTTTTAGTATATATATATATATATATATATATATATATATATATATATATATATATATATATACTGATATATAGTATATAATTTAGTATGAACTATATTGTGAATGCACATCATTGGCTGCGCAATGGTGGGTGTAACACTTTAATATATCTTCATTTAGTAGTAAAATTTATACGTACAGTCTTGCAATTTAATATTTGGTCACCGGTGGTGTCCAATTTTCTTCTTGATAAAAACCTTAATAATAATTATAACAATAATATTAAAACAATACATGATATCAATTCTGGTAGCAACTACACTTATTAGTTCATTCTATGTTCAAAACTTGATGTGGTGAGGAGGAGGCAGGTTTTGATAGTTTTGTGGGTGTCTGTCTGTGAGTGACTTACTCAGTTTGGACTTGAAACGGATTTTTCTGAAAAATAGCGTCCTAGACCGAAGTGGCGAATACACTGGTGATACCGAAAATTCCATTAGGAGCTTTATTTTCAAGAAAATCGCGAAAATTACGCAGCAAACGTCAATATCTTCAAAATTGCACTGTAAGGAAGTGGAATTTAAAACAGGTTCTCTTTCTACCACAAACTCTACTTTCTACTCGCAATAAAGTCTGGTAATCATAAAATCTGCTGTGCAAATTTCACAGCTGAAAATTTGAAAAAAAAATTAAATAATTCGAAAAAATATAATAATTTGAAAAATATAAA